TGCAACCAGCTTGTGAGGCATCATAATACAGAACCTTTGTGGGCAGAGTTAAAAGCAGTGCCATCTAATGGTGAGTGTGCAGCAGATCAAATGTTAAGTGTTTGGGTTTTTTAGTAGAAGGTAATTTTTTTTTTAAAGCATGGCCTAAAGATGACAAAAACAATGAATCATGTTTCAAGTTTGCCTTTTTTAAATGCTAAAAACCCTAGGGCAGCTACCAAAAACTAGGACTCAAAAATCTTATTTTTAGATCTTCCATCAAAATCTTACAAATAGAAGAGCTCTGGTATGCGAAGTATTTCTTGCAGTTAAATCTGTGCATTACGAAATGTGTCTGGATAAATTCACAAGAAACTGGTAACACTGGCTGGTTGCCTTTGAGGAGAGGACTGGCAAGCAAGAGTGGAAGGAATGATTTTTCACTGCACATCTATAGAATTTTGAAGCATGTGACCATATTATTTTCTTAAATTGTTTAAAATACGTGATACTAAGGTCTTTCTTACAGGTCATGAATGAAAAACTTCAGCACTGCATGGAACTAACAGATCTAATGCGGAATCACCTGCAGGAAAAGAGGGCACTTCGCCTGGAGTGGATGATCGTCATCCTCATCACCATAGAGGTAAATAGAAGTGCTGTGTACCATAATCACTTACCATTGGTTTCCAAATACAGGAGCTTTGATAATAATAAAAATAATTTGAGAAAGAAAATTATAGCAGTAAAGAATATGACTCATTCTAATTACTAAGTCTGTTTGGAAGTGAAGTAAGTTTCTAATGACTGAAATATTTTGCAAATGCATTAAATGTAATTTTTGAAAAGGTTCCACACTTTTAAAGATAGCATTTGGAAATAGTTCTAGTTGTATAATGAACAGCCAAACATCAAATCAAGTACCTATGCCTCAGATTTGGGGGATGCCAAGTGAGAAAGGCAAATACTCATTCAGGAGCATTTTTCACTAGGCACAATTTTGGAAGAGTCATTTTAATTTCTACCAATGATTCGTTTGCCATGAAATTAATAATTCACATTTTACCATCCTAAGGTACTGTTTGAGCTGGGACGAGTATTTTTCTGATCAGGGGATAACCAAGTGTTATTGCAAGAAATACTCAAGTTCTACAATCAAAAATAAATGTTCAGGGCTGGCTGCTTAGCTCACTTGGGAGAGTGATGCTGGTAACACCATGGCCAAGGGTTCAGATCCCCATTCCAGCCAGCTGCCAGCCAAACAAACAAATAAATAAATGTTCACTATTGGATGATCTTTTATTTAATATGTATTTAATTTTTTTAAATAAGAGACTGTGTTGCTTGAATAAAAATTATGAAGAATCTGGTGTTTGGGTACCACTGACCGTTCACAAAAGGAAGATGTTTATTTCAGTTTAAAGAACTTTGGATAACCTTAGCATCTAGGAATTCTAAGCAAAGATACTTTTTCAAGCCAAAAGGCTTAGACTTGAACACCATTCCTTACCTAATCCTAGGGAATCCCAATCATGACCCTGGCTAAAAAAACCATACAGGAACTCAGGAGTGTTTAAATCACTATTACAATACCAGACAGGCTTTCGATGGCAGAAATGAATTTTATATACC